TTAAAGAATCTCCATTTCCTGTTTCCTGGTGTGACGGTACCAGACAGTCGCAGACCGACTGTTGTTCTATCAGCAGGATGTGATTTTTAGAAGAATGTCGTTGTTGTACCCCGAGAGGCAAAAATGATTACACCACTTACTGTCCCACCCACCCAAAAGGAAGAAGTGTAATTAGACTATCTACACGGCAGTGCCTTCCTCACTGGAGCCCCCAGTGAGCATTCACACTGGACCGGGGTCAGGACCAGGGTCTGGACGGGGTCTAGACTGGGGTCTGTCCTCTGGTGGGGGACACGGTCTTGAACGTTTTTGGATGCGGTGTCAGAGTGATTAGTCAAGTGTTATGTCACCACAAGAGGTCGCCAACCTGCAGTGCAGTCCAGACTCTGGTCTTTCCGGTTTTCCAGGTGGGTTAGACTCGAGACCACGTGTGTGTCAAACTCAAGGCCTGGGGGCCAAATGCGGCCCGCCAAGCTGTTCTGTGTGGCCCGAGGGATCTTGAAAAAAGCATTTAGTAAAGTCCATACAGAAGATTCAAACTGAACCTAAAAAACCTTAAAAACATTTTTTATTACACAGCGATGAACAATATTTGTAGCTTGAACAAATAATAATCAATTGCAAGGATCAATACATTTTCAATGTGGTCCCCGGTGAAAATGAGTTTGACACCCCCTGGTGTAGACTGTATATATCAGACATAATAAAACTATGGTCTGTTAGCAGAACATTCGGCTTTTTCATCCTGCCCATCAAACAAAAATGTCCAAATGATTGTGAAGACATAGAGATAATTCCTTTATTTTTCCTGCGTTTCTGTGCTTTTCAGTTTACCCACTAGATGGTGCAATCGCACAGATTACTTTTGCAAGAGCCGCAGCCTGTCTGTCCAGTTGAGTTTGTTGGTACATTGAAGGTGGACTGAAGAGTAGAAAAGTAAAAAGCAAGAAAAGCAAGAAAAACATTACAATTCCATCAACAGTATTTTTAATGTTTTAAAGAGAATGTTGAACGAATTAATCAACTCTTTAATTCATGTTTTAAGACTTGTGCACCATTACATTACAGCACCATTACATTTTGATATTCAACGTTTGATAACGACTCCGCTAAAAAAAAGTGACTACAGCAATTACCAATTTACACCACTAGGTGGCAGCGCTGGTTCATATTTTACAGTTTCTACGCTGTATAACTGAAACATTGAAGTGTCACAGCTTATTGGGTCATTTCCGTCGAACTGATTTTGTGTGGTTCAGAAAACGTTGTCGGTGAAAGAAGGTCAGATAAACAGAAATAAAGTTAAGATTATATTATATTATATCATATATGATATTATATTATGTTATATTATATGTTCTGAGTCTCTGCTAATTCCCGACACACAATCAGTACTAGCACCTCTGCTAATTGGTTTTACTCCCAGCGGAACAGTGCAGTTGTGGTGTCGACCAGAGTCGGTCTAACGATGACAAACGCTGGTTTTTCTGATGCTTCAGTACAGAGTTTGCGTCACTCTCAACCTGTCAGCTTTGTCGGATCCGTGCAGAGTACGCTGTGGTTTTGAATTAGGTGTTTGCTAATTCAAAACCACAGCATGTGGGCTAAGTGGGGGGTGGGTGGGGTGGGGCGGCGACTGAACACTTGTTCTCGGCATAGTTACAAAGTGAACGAACAGATGTAGTGTGATTAAGATATGCATGGATAAAAACAAGCTAACTGTGTTTACTTATCTCCCCTGCAGCTACGCTGATCCATAATAATAACAGCTCTCAGCTGGAGCACAAACAACATCTGGGTGTGGTGAGAAGAAAGACGGAGAAGTCCCAGCAGGGTGGGCAGCAGATGGTCACATTGCAGCAGAACTTCTCCAGGTAATGCCCCCAACACCACACAAACCACCCTGCAGGACAACGTGTGTAACTGCTGGGTTTTAATAAAACTGTCGATAATGGTTGTTGTTCACGCTGTAGGTGTGAATGTGAGTGTGAATGTTTTTTTTTTTTTTTTTTTTCAGACATAGCCTTGATTAGCGTCAGTTTCCCACAAAGCAAAAAAAAATTATTCACTCAGGAAATAAATGGATGAATTTTTTTTTTTTTCAGACATTGCCTTGATTATTGATTTGATGATTTGATGATTGGATGTTGTGAAGATGATCTTCTGGTTCTGTATATATTTGCTCTGAATAATTAAAAAAGAAAATGGTATTTTCCTCTCATAATGAAAACCTAATAACACAATACCTGCGTTTCCCCAAATGATGTGTGCCCTAAAATTGTTTTGGGGAAAAACGGCTGTATATCAAAGTGAAAGCCACTAGATGGCAGCATAATTTATCTTAATAATCGGGGGATTGTATGCAGAATGTTGGTGCCAGCAACTCATACATTGGTCTCTACAGATAAATAAATAAATATTACCAGGCTCCTATTACTGGGGAGAGGGGGGTGGTGATTATTTTTTTTATATTTGTGAATGACAATAATGAAACAGCCCACATGAAAAAACTCTTTATTCAGTTCCTAGAATTGAACTTCATGCCCTTCCGTCGATTCCTCTCCTAAAAAGACGGAGCTGTTGAGCTACAGCAGCCGGACTGTGATGAACCATTAGAACGAGAGAAAATTCTTTAATGATTTGAAAATATCTCTCTGTTTTAATGACTTTTTTTAACACCAACCATTTTAATCATTAACGTAACGTCATAAATGTCACTGTGACAGTTAAAGGGCAGTTTTTTATTTTTATAAGAGCTTTTTAATTGGTCTCTGGTGAATCGCCCACCAGCAGAGATTTCAAATATTTTCTTTCTAGTTCCCACAAAGAGATAATTACAGTATCTTCAGAGTTCGTCTGGTTCACAGTGGATGGAGTAGAATGTCAGCTGATTTCTGTTTGGTCAACTCCAAACTATGAGCTCCACATTTGTGGAGTGGATGTCAAATCGATCGCGGGTAAAAGAACCGCACTATAAGACGATCTCACCGAAATATTGGTGATATTTGACGGAAATACTCAACACACAAAGGGATGAATTTACTTTATAAATACATAAGGGCAAAGAAAGTTCATACTGTTTTTTTAGTAGTTAATAATTGAACCTGTTCATTAGTCTGTAGCTGTTGAATCAGTGATCGTTTTATCTTTTTTTTTCCTGAACCCAGTATGGAGAAGAGGGTGCAGACACTGAAGGACTCATTGGAAGGCCCTAACCTGGATCCTCTGGACCTTATGAAAGTATACAAGGTACAAGAAGGTCCTTCAGTAAAACATTATTGATACAGATATGCTCTGTTTTGTGTGTGTTTTGAACAAAATAATCTTTTCTTAGAAAATGTTTAATTAATAATAAAATAAAAGTCAGTTTGTTAATAAGTCGAGAGTGTTTCTGAGTCTTGGAGAAAAAGCAGTTTTTCTCATGTTCATGCTGTTTAATTATTTTGTGTCACAGCTGCAAGTGCTGAAATGAAAGTAGGAGACTCAGGGGTTTAAAATAGTTTTGTTCTCAACAAATATACCTATATGTATCATCGGCCGACCCATATTAGCATAGTTATGTAATATCTGTGAGAATCGTTATCGGTTTTTCCTCCGAGTTAACATCAGACATCCTTAGTTTTAATATAAAAATATCTCACTATTACATTGAGGGTTTATTATGGTATGTATATGGTTACTTGGTTCTTCTTGTCCAGTCGTGGCTCCGACCACACCAACACTCAGACAACATTAACGATGGAAGACGAATTCATGGATAAATAATAAAGAATAATCATGAATCTTTGATCCACCCTCCAGGACAAACTCTTGGAGAAAATGTGGAAGCAGCAGGAAGGCGTGGAGATTCCTGCAGCTCCAGAAGAAGAACCTGCTTCGCCCGAGGCCAGCAAAAGTTTGGAGGATAATTCTGGGGAGAGCAATCCCCTCCTGGAGCGACTCCGAGCCCTGGAGGTGAAGCATTGTTCACTATTTTCACCAGGAACCTCATTTCTCCCTCTGTTTCCTGCTCCATACTTTTTTACTCTTCACTCCAGAAATGTCATTCAGATTAATGTGTTGAGACAACCACAAAGGTCACACTACACATTAAGGCTGTAATACCAGAACCCAGAGAATCATTTATAAGGAGTACACTCAGGTCCAGATTTCTACCTTCTCTTTGTATTTCCTTCTTTTTTTTTAAATTTCTGACATCCATTCGTCCTGATCGTGGTCAGTTCCAGGGACAGAATTATGGCAACAATAATTCATGTGATCTGTGACAGGCTTTCACACTGACTTATAAACACTGACTGATCTACTGGTCGTCTTTCCAGGCGGAGAATTCTGCTCTGTCACTGGAAAACGACAATCAGAGGAAACAGTACGAACGTTGTCTGGATGAGGTGAGTCTGGGTTTTATGTCTTATCACTGTTGTCTCTGTGACATCATCATCACTGCCGTCTCAGTGACATCATCACTGCTGTCTCAGTGACATCATCATGTTATAAAAAGTACACATCTTAAAGTGAACTCCTGATTTAATTTCCACCTTTTCTGACTGTCATTCTCTTAAGGTGGCTAACCAGGTGGTCCAGGCTCTGCTCACGCAGAAGGTTGGTCTCTCTGTTTCTATGAAGTATCATATCTGTGTATATAAACACATATATATGTATTTAAGTATGTGATTATATGAATACAGTCCTGCGTCTCTCAGCCGAACTGCTTGATTGGACGCTGCTCCAGTGACTCCTGTTTGTCCGTTTCCTGTTTCCTGTTCTGACTGTATACAGGACCTGAAGGAGGAGTGTGTGAAGCTCAGGACCCGTGTGTTTGACTTGGAGCAGCAAAACCGCATACTGAACGTGCTGTTTCAACAACGTGTCAAAATGTCCACAACTCCCGTCTCCACGGTAGGAGCACACTGTGCAGAGAATACAAACAGTGACAGATATAGCCTTCACCACAACTGTTTGAATTTTACATGAGCAGTGTTCAACTTCTAAAGGTTACTCACTTTCCAAAAGACGTGGGGGTGGGAGGGGGGGTAGGGGGGCAGGGGCAGTGGAGGAAGGTAAGAAGAAAAGTACGGATTCTATTTTGAGATTCTGCCGTTTTGATGTGACCAAATTAGAACATAGTCCAAGTGGGCCATATGTATGCTTTATTCAAACAGCCTCAGTCTGTCACAGTTGTTTTTCACCTTTGGTTAAATAACGTCTCATTTTATGATTCTGTAACTGTAAAGAATCCTCACTAGAGGGTCCGATATTAGCATAAATATGTAATATCTGAATCGTTATCGTTCTTTCCTCCGATAATGAAATCCCGATAACACAACGCCTGGAATGATGTGTGGCCTAAAAATAGTTTTGGGGGAAAAACGGCTGTATGTGAAAGTGAAAGCAGCTAGATGGCAGTATTGCAGCTCATTTTAATAATCAGGGAAATTGTAAGCAGAATGTTGGTGCCAGCAACTCATACAGTGGTTTGTAGATATGAAAGAACTTCTGTCCTCTAGGGGGGGCATGGCAGAAAATAATTGAGAAACACTGCTTTAACCCATCACCTGAGTGAGCAACCATTGTCCCGCTGTATTGGTATGGTTGGTATCGGAATTGGAAATTAAGTGTTTGGATAATATCGGCATATCAGATATCGGCAAAATGTTAATCAGGGACATCCCTGATCGTCACATATTTAATTTGCTCTGTGTTAATTTTACTGTGACAAACACAGCATCCACACAGAGCCTGTATGATCTGCTGCTGCTGCTGCTGCTGTGTGTGTGTTTGCTGATGTCACAGGGAGCAGCAGTGTTTGTTACTCAGATCTAAGCCCAGCAGGCAAAACAAAGCAGCGAAGAGAAAGACCAGAGAAGATGGATGTGACATGAAAAGAATAAAAAACAGCAAGGTTAAAATGAGAAAGATTATTAATGACAGGAGCCTGGAGACAGGAGTGGGGGTGGGGGGCAGGAGGGGTGGCGAGTGATGGTCCATGTGATAGTGAATTCCATTAAAGCACTTAAGAGAGACTATTTTGAAAAGAATGGAGAGAAGAAATGATGGGGTGGGGGGCAGAGAGGAGGGAGAGAGCAGAGGAGTGAGTGAATCCCTGCTCCGGGCAGCTGGCTGTGTTGCTTGGGTAAATTTGGATGAGGTTGTTAAAATTTAGTGCTAAAAGTTTATTGTCCTTGTGGTAAATGGCGGCTGATCGTCATCAGCTGGGGTTCGAGGGCAGGAGGTTTAAGAACGTCTCAACCACAGAAGTGTGACCGGTGTAAAAGTTAGGAAAGAGCCGAGCAAATCGAGTGGAAACTGAGTTCAGGAGCGCTGATGAAGGTCCACGAGTTTGACACCGTGCAGAACACAGGGATCTGAGTGTACTCTGTGCTGCAGAAGAAAAACGCAGATGGGGATGATACAAGGACGGGGACTCAGGCTCAGGCAGCAGATTAGCCAGCAGGGGGCAGCAATCTGGGAGGGCAAAAGTGCTGCAATGTGAAATGTCAAAGTTCTTTTAGTGCTGAGGTGAATCAGGGAGTGTTGAAGAAAATCTTTTATTTACTATTTAACATTCTTGTATTTCCAGCAGGTAGATTTTATTTTATAAATTACCGTTTGCCCCCAAAAACTGTGGAAAACCCAGGCATTATGTATTAGGTTTTCATTATTGGAGGAAAAAAATGATAATGATTTTTAGAGATATTTTTGGAAATCCCTAATAATATTTTATATTATTTTATATTATATTATTCTGGGAAAATACATGGTTTTTACTGTCCTCTCTGTTATCATTTAAAAAATAATTTTTCTTCTAAAAATGCCATGCCTAATGTAATAAAATAAAAATGAGAAAGATAATTAACTAAACTGTGAAATTGCATCACTTAAAGGCCTGATTTGGAGTTCCATTCGGAGGGAATGGCTTGGTATCATCTGTGTCAACTCTCTGCACTCTTCAGACACACCGACTGTAATTACTTTTTTGACTAATCTGCAGAAACAAGGTCACATGTGCTCCAGGCCCACGGTGCATTTGAAATGAAGCCTGGAGCAGATAATCAAATATAGGTGAAAATCTATGAATGGACGGACGCACGGAATCACTCCGGTCCCCAGATCCCTTATGCAATTATTTCCTTTTCACATTAATTATTGCTAACAGATGACACAAATGACTTCTAGAGGAAGCAGCCTATGGCAGCTTAGCAGAACATCAATGCCATTTAAAATGGGGTTGTAACACTTGGTACTATTGGGTCGATGTAATTGGAAATGGCACCGAAGTTTTGTTGAGTTCAGCACCGCACCCAGCGAACGTCAATGTACGGCAAGAGCAGAAGTTCAGGTGATGTGGGAACCTGTCAGTACCACATACTGTATATACACCGTGCCGTGTATATGTGGCATATATGTTGTCCAAATATTATGTCAGTCATGTTGTAGAAGGTTCTCATTGAACATTTCCATTACTGTGTATTTCCAGGAAGTCCAAATGAATGGAAAAGCAGACGTGACCTCAGAGAGGTGGCCCAGCCTCCTGAGCCTGACGTGTCAGGGCAGCAGTGGCAGTGGCAGTGGCAGTGACCTGTCTCTGTCCCGGGCTTGTAGTGAATACTCCTCTGGGTCCTACACCTGGGCCGAGGGTCACGGTTGCTCAAAACAGGATAATACAGTCGTTATTTATTTATTTATTTATTTGTTTATTTTTGAATCATTAAAATGGCTCTTTTACCTTAGTACTTTTATAAATGACAAATATAATTCTCTTTTGTGACAGTGTTCCAAACGGATGAGTGCTTGTTCCGTTTATAATAACCATTCAGTACTGAGTGAGCAAACAGAGCTGGGATGGAAGGAAGGCCACATTCTGAAAGGTCTGAAGTGTCTCCAAACATCCGGGTCCAAGGAACAGTCCCTGAAATCGTCTGCAGTGCAGTGTAACGATTGCATGACCTCCAATGAAGGCATCTACTCACTCGGTGTTAACAGTGGTCCACAGGGGTCAAAACAAAGAACCCCCATCAGAAAACCTTGCAAAGCCTGTGAAGGGTTTACTGCGCTGGGCTCTGACGACACGGGCGACGACAAAATGAAAGTGCAGAGCAGGGAAGACACGGACCAATCAAAAGAGAACATGGAGGTTGATGATGGGAGTTCAACTGAAGAACCAGTAAATTCAGATCTTTTCACTTCACCTGTAAAGGACAACTACCAATTTTTGGAAACGCCCGGTGTGGGCCCCACAGCTTCGCCCCCACACTGTGACGAAGGACAAAGAAATAAATCGTTGAGCTTGAGACACACTGACAGTAATAACAACCAAGAAAGGTCAGCTGACCATGAATCCAGTCCAGATCATGTGCCGACCCAGCACGGCAGGTTCACCACCAACCAACAAGAAGACGTGGCGAAGGATTTGAAGTCACCGTTACTGCACAGTAAAACAAAGATGCACCGTTAACGCACAGTAAAACAAAGATGCTGAGCAGTCCTGTGAAAGAAGCCCGACTCTGCAGCTCCCTGGTAGAGGTCACCCAGTGGGGGGAGCTGGTGAGTCAACCTGACACAAAATCTTCTCAGAGGAAACTTAGACCTCAGCCGTGTGACTCGGCCAGGAAGGCTTTTATTTTGCGGAGCAAAAGTGCAGATGGAGGACCAGCGCAGGCCAAGCACACACATTCTCCTCTCCACCAGAAACTCATGAAGAACCCCTGGTCCAAAGGACAGACGAGCCAGACTGGGCAGGGAATTCCAAGCAAAAGGAAAAACCTCGGCAAAACAAACGTGTGTACAACTGAAAAAGAAGAGGATTTTACTGCGGCGGCAACTTCCACGTCTCTGGAGAACGTGCACCACTGCTCTCCTCTGGCTTCTCCTTTAAAATTTTCCAAGACATTCAACAAGTCCTCGGGGGTCACAGACGCCTCAGAGGGTCCGGTCAAGTCGTCTCAAAAAACTTCTTCAAGACTTCAAACAAGCAATGACCCTGTGAATGACAGTGGACCTGAGAACTTACCCAGACAGGAACGTCAAGAACAGCACGCCGTGTACTCACCGCCTCCAGCACCTCCAGGCCGCACCACCTCACTCCTTCATCGAACTAGTCATGGTTCTTCACCGGAGGCTCATAAATCAGAGGCTCCGACTCAGATCTGGGAAGCTGCAAAGAAAACATCATGTTCCTCAAAGCCAGAGTCCAGGGAAACCCAAGGAAATTCAAAAACTCAAGCCCTCGTGTCAAGACAGCTGTCCTTGGATATAAGTACCACTTTCCACGATGCTCCTCCAGCGCTGCTGAATCACAGTGTCCTACAGAGGTCACAACAGAGTGTCAGTGAGCCAAGACTGTCAGAGGTTTTACCACATGTCCACACCAACGTTTTCTACCACGGGGTCTCCAGGAACCTCAACAGTTCTACCTCAAGAGCAGTGAAAACGGCTCATCTTGTAAATGTTCGCTCTAATGATTTTCCAGAAACCAGTACTTTCCTAATTAATGGGAAGCCTCAGATGAAACATGACGGTGTCGCTCATGACAAAGCCCACGGAAAGATTGAGACCCGCTGTAGCTCTTTTGATTGTGAACCTGCAAAATCAGAGGGTGGCATGATGTTAGACTGGGGGTTTGATGAGGAAGGCTGGTTGTTCAAGAGATCTGTGTCAGTTTCGACCCGACCACTCCTCAAGCCAGTGATGGGCATGAACGGGATGAAGGCTCGCAGCCAGAGCTTTGGTGCACGATACATGGACAGACCCAACTTTAACAGACCTGGAAATGTCCGCACCCAGATCAAAACACAGTCTGGGAGCTCCCTCAACTCCCTCAGTGATCTTCTTCCAGGAAGTATGAGTTGCTCCAGCAGCTACCACTGTCCCATGAACCAGTCCCTATTGAACAACTTCATGATTGAAGAAGGCCTGACAGGCCCCACATATTTGGGCTCATCTAGAGAAAGACTACAGAGTATTAAACTCCAACAGGAGCAGGTCCGGCGTATTCAGATCGAACAGCAGTTCTCCAGCGCCTTCGGCACGCCGGTTTCTGAAGAACCAGAGATACAAAGTACAATCACCACCATTGAAGAGAAAGTCATGCTTGGCATCGAGGAAAACCTGCACAAGTCCCAGGAGCAGGAGAAAAGTAGTGACGTGAAACAAAAGTCCAGTTCAAGCTTGGCCAACTGGTTTGGACTTAGAAAGAGCAGACTACCTGGACCGAGTGGGAAAAAAACTCATCAATCGAAAGGGAAAGACGACAAGAAAGAGCAACAGGTTCCATCGCTCCGAGGCGGGAAACAGGCGAAGACTGACAAGAAGAAAGACAGAAGAAAAAGTGACGGAAAAGACTGGTAAGAAATGGTCCTTGTAGATGGTTCTAAGGCTGCGTTTACGCTGCAGGTGTTAAAGCTCAATTTGGAATTTTTGAGATTCGACGCTGCAGGTGTTAAAGCTCAATTTGGAGCTTTTGAGATTCGATTTTTTTTTTTTTGCATGTTTATTGATCTTATCTTTAAATGTGACGTCCCTGAAGTGACCTGAGATCCCTGATATTTTCACCTGCCTTGAAAATATCAGGTGGGCCACTTTTGCCTGCAGTCTGAACGTAGGCCGTGTCCCGTTCACAGACTGGTTGAATTGACCAGTAGTAATGAATGACTGATGTTCTCAGACCAACTGTTCTGGTTCAGCTCTGTAGGAAGGAGAGAGTCACATGACGCAGTACGGTCCTGCATTTCAATGCCGTGTCCAGGAGTGGCGTTGAACGAGATACAAGGACACGCTGACATCAGCAGAGACTCAAAGGTGAATCACGCCGTCTCCATCAGAAGGTCTTTAGGTCTTCACTCTGTCAGTGCGTCTCAACTGTCAGAACCTGAAGTATTTATTCTTATTATTATTACTTCTGAATATTTGTAACACTGTCCTTGTGTAAAACCTCAGGTGAGGAGCGGTGATGAACCGGGGTCGACCGTGGACCTCAGCCCCCAGGCTGCAGTTACAGGTCAGAGCCTTCTTTTACAACATCTCCTTAAACAGTACCAGTTCTGTAAAGTGGAGCCAGGTACTGTTTCCAGGTATTTCAAATAACAGTATTTATCCTGCTACTTTAAAGTATTTATTCCGCTTGTGTATTTGTAGTACTATAGTTTATGGTGTATTTAGTTTGATGGATGGATGGAACTACTAAGTTCATAGTGGTGCTGTACACCTGTAAACTGTGAGTGTGATGATCAGAGGTCATTGACCTTTGACCTCGTCATTCCTGATGTCAGTGATGAAGAGTTGAAGATCAACTCAACGTCTCGTTGTCTTTAGCACCATTTCAACCAACCTCACCACACTGTTTGGTTCTTGTTATGCTGCCCCCTGTCTTCTGTCTTGAGTCATTTCAGCTGCTCTCCCTGTGCTGCAGGTTCCAGCTGCAGGATGCGAACACTGGATAGTGGAATTGGGACCATTCCACTTCCTGAATCCTGTTCCTTCTTCTCCAACATCCTGCATCTCCTTCCCAAACCCTCATTCACCCCAGAGCAGTCGCTCAAGACTCGCTGTGTCCCCATGTCCCCCAGCGAGGATGTGTCTCCGTCCCACCTACCCCGATGGAGAGTCCCAGCAGGTGGTAAAGACCACCGTCCTGCTGGGGTTCCAAATTCCCTGTCTGAGTCCTCCATGACCCACATCCCACTGGTGCCTGTTCCCACAGTGGCTCTCCTGCAGCCCGCGCCCCCCCAGTCTGAACCCACCCTAACATCTGTCAGTGTGTGTCAAACCCAGAGTGGACTTTCCAGACCCCGACCAGGTAAAGTCCTGTTCTAGGTTTACTCTTTCAACCAGTCGGTGTGAACTGATCCTGTACACGCTGTAGGGGGCAGTATGGTTAGGTTAGGTTGATCTAGTATGGATGTAGACACATTTCTGTCGTGAGTAAATGTCGGTTCCATAGTGTAGCGGTTAGCACGCCTGCCTCGGAAGCAGAGAGTCCTGGGTTAGATTCCCGTAGGAACCACCTGCTGAATTGTTAATCCTCGTCCTGTAAGTCGCTTTAGATCAAAGTGTCTGCTAAATGTGTAAATGTAAACGAGTCCAGTCTGTCGTCACTCACTGACCACTGGTGGGGTCTCTGTAGTTCTACACACACACACACATACACTGTGGTCATTCGTCAAAGCTTAATTTTTAATACGTATTTGAATGATCACTGACATTTGTCTGTAAGTTACCGTTGACTGGACCTGGTTCACATCATCAGATTGAACCAGTTTCTCACTAGACTTTTATTCACAAAAACATCCAAAACACACACGTTAGTCCATATCAAACGTTAGCGTGTTGCGTGTTATTGCTAACCGTCTCTTACAAAGTGCATTTTAAACGGACTGCGGCGTAAACGACTCTCTGAGACTCGCAGCACTGACTCGGCCGGCGTTGCATCACCTTTGTCCCTGAAGGTCGGCTTTAAAGCTGCGGCTTCACGTCTGCGGCCCGTCAGAGCGTCACGGAGGTGTTTGTCAGGACGCAGACAGATTTCATCAGGTCTTCAGACGTCAGTCAACCGCCAACTTCTCCGACTCCAAGTCACATTTTGGCCAATTGAAATTCAGAGTGATCTCATGTCTCCACTGACGCCACGCTCACTGTGTTTCAGGTGGAGTGGAGTCCAGGAAGCCGGCGTCCGTCAAACCAAAAACCAAGGCCAAGAAAGAGTCCACCAGGATCCAGCTGGCCAACTGTAAGACAGCAAATACTTTTGTTTACTACAACTACTTAGTATTACTACAATAGAAATGCATGCTGTATCAGGGGCGTCAAACGCATTTTGGCTCACGGGCCGCATACAAGTGGGCCACACCAGTACAACCAAAAAATAATTAACTATAAATAACAATAACTTTGTTTTCATGCAAAAAAGTTTACATGACATTTATTATTATTAAGTATTTATATTTGTTAAAAATTAAGCTTTTGTGTATTATTTTTATTTACAAAATTCATTAAGTGGGCCAAAATAATGTTTACCACCCCTGTGCTACATGTTTTTATTCTCTTAGATAGTAAACGTTTACTGTGTGTTTAAAGTAAGTGAAAAGAAGCAGATTGTTCTGAACAGTTAATCCATTAGGGTCAAGGCCCCTGGGCTGGGCCTAATGACCGCTGCAGGCCTGAACCCTGTTCTCAACCACAGGGAGACGGCCTAACCAATGGTCCAGGACCGTTGGGGAAACAATTCATGTTGAAGTTGATCTTTACATTTACTGTACCTGCCTAAAACGTCTGCACAGGCCAGTATTTAAAAAATCTTGAAATGATTTCTTCTGTTCCAGAGTTTTTCCAGCTGAACGTCCCAGTCTGAACGCTCTGTGGTGGAGGTCGGACCGTTCTGTGAAGTGTCATGAAGCAGTGATCAGCTGACCACTAGCAGCTTCATCACAGACTCTCCTCTTCGTGACCACAACAACAAGGCTGCTGATAGAATATTGACTTTTTCACCAAGGCAACCTCGCCGCCCTGAACTGACTTGTGATTGGTCAGAGTCCTTCACCGATGGTGTGATTAACTTCAGCCTCACAACGTGTGAGCGGTGAAGATGTGTACTGACCCAACACACACACACACAGCAGCGGGACCTCTGATCACCTCACCTCTGTTTGAACTCTGACCCCTGAACTCTGACCTCTGACACTGATTTTGTTGCTTCACAGAAACATTTAGCCAGAAACTAAAACCTGGTCTGGAGACCAGGACAGAACTAGACTTACCTTCAAAAATGGTTCCTCCCACGGTCACTGCTGAGGAGCTGCAGAACAGACTGACTGTGGCTCATTTATATGAGACCGCAGTGATGATGTCACAGAGGGCGCGGTGATGTCTTAGCTTCTTCTGTCCTGTCAAAGGTCAAAGGTTAAATCTCTTCAGTCGTACTGACCTGTCCTTGAAGTTGATTAGA